TGTAAAAAAATAACGTTTAACCGTGACTTGTAATTATTGGCTATATGTTGTTACACGCCATTGAAAAAAGGGGGTGAATAAATTGAAACAAATTGTCACGCGAAAAAGGAACAAGCCAATAGCATCAAAGAAGCATGATTTTAGTGATAACGGTAATTTATTAACAAAGGTAAGTGTTGTTATTTAAATATTTGAATTTTTATTGTTTCATTTGAACCGAAAGTATTTTTTTTTATATTATCATGCGGATGAAGCCGCACGGGAATTGCTAGTTATGTTTTAATATAACTTAACATGCGATACGAATCATAATACTGATTAATGCAAACACGGCCAGGGTTATGTAAACGTCATGCAACGTTCATACATCTTTCACAATGCATTGCACTATCGCGGTTTCACCCTGTAAACAGTGGAGTCGATTGTTAACTATTACGTATTGCTTTGACGCCTTTCTTTCGCTTAGCTTATTTCCATGGGCATGTATTTCTGGAGGCTTCTCGAAGCATATCATGATTTAAAAATTGTTTACAAATATTTTGAAGCATAAAATAAAATTAAATACAATTTTTATGGTACCAACATCAATAACTTCTTTTGTAATTTGCTGCTTTGTTATTTATTACTACTGCTTTCTTCAGTTAGGTAAAATGCAAATTACTGTAAAGATATTGGACATTTACAGAGTCACATAATGGTTACTTAAAAGTCGCCAAGTGTAGGTTTCTTAAATTAAGTCGGCATTTGTTTACAACTGTCCATGTTCAAAATGGTAAATGCAATTTTACTAGGGTCCATTCAAACATACTGACCCGTCGAGCAGGCCAGACTTAAGTCGCAAATAAAAGTGAGCTTTATGCGATTAAAACAAGATTTAATTTTACTATTTACGTGTTTTTACTTTTGCTATTCTTGAAAAAGTGGTGCAAAGTAAAATTAAACCTTGTGTCAATAGCATAAAGTTCAATTTACTTGCGATATATATCTGCTCTGCTTTACGCTCCATTGTGTGTACGGGCCCTTAATCAGTTGTCCGGATGCAATTGCCGACCGGAAGCTTTGAGCTTTTCACGCGATAAGAATACGCAATAGGTGGATGTTTGAATATGCTTCTTTAATGAGTTGCAGATATTACTAAGCTAAAAGCTTTGCTTAGAATTTATGTAATTGTTAATAATTTGCGGTTGTTATTTGTGGTACGATGAGTGAACGGAATCATTCATTAACTGTTAATGATTCAAATAAGACTCAACTTTATTATTTGTCACTTAAGTTTTAATGATGTAAGATATTATCAATGTATGTCAATTTATTAAAAAAACGTATCCACTAAGAGCAAGTTTCTTTACTTTAATTATTAAACAAAGTCTAAAGAGACTATCAGTATGCTTGAGTGTTACCGATTGTGCGTAAATTTTGTTGTTTTATAACTGGACGAGAATTGTTCATTTCACTCTAAATTAGTGAGTTTAAGATACCTGGTAAGATTAAAAACTTACAAAATTCGCAACTTATCGATTACTTATTCAAGGATTGCAATAACATAAGATAAACGGTAGAATTGATATTAAACTTGAATGCATTGGATTAATAACTTCCATATAACACTGCATTCTTTAGATTAGTTCACAGGGAATTCAAAAATTTTACAATGAAAATTTAGATGGATGCTTGTTAGAGTTTGTTGCCTAAACTGCTGCACAGATCTTTACGAAATTTGGCATCGATGTAGAAGATAGTAGGAAAGAACACATAGGTTACTAACTTTTCTTTTTTTTAATTCCACGCGGACGGAGTCGGGGTCGAATGCTGGTACTTTATAAAGACAGTTTTTATGGCCTTTAAATTACAATTATTATACAAATTATTATAAAGTTTGAATTACGACTACAATTATGACCTATTTCCAAACAATGTCATTTGAATAGAAATATTCATTTAGTCGACGAGTTTAACATATTTTGGCATCGAAATTGTTCCCCAAAAGTTTTATAGGTGTTGAAAATATTTTACATTCTTCATATTTAAAATGACTTGGAATATTTTGAAGTTATTTGTGCGATGGAAAATAATTTTTCTCTTCATTAATATTAACTTTGTCTTTAATATTTTGTTTTTTTAGGTTTTAAAAAATTGTATGGTGCAATGCATTTAATGATACTCTATCTAGCATTCTTTGCTTATATTCTTTAAAAAAAGCAAACTTCTCTATATTCGATCAGTGAGAATACAATTCCAGTCTCATCTAAACTTCCTTTACAAAATCCAATACAATCTCTGATATAAAGTAAAGCTGATCCGTTACACAAGAAGTCTCGCTGCTGACTCGAATCTAATTAACTGGCAACAGGACGCCGACCTAGTTTCACCCCCCACACCTCCCCTTACTTCATCCCCGTCGTTACAAATACATCGACCTCCCACGCTATACAAAGTTCGATGAAAACAACTCCCTATAACAGGGAAACTCGAAGATCTATGACAAGTTACATTTTTATTACTTGACCAATATATTAAAATCAATCTTTTAAAATTTTGAAATACTTTACATTGCAAATAAAAATCTTTTTTTGATATAAGACTAGCTATTGCTCGCGACTTCGCCCGCGTGCAATAAAAAAAATATAGCCTATGTTACTCATAGATTAATTACCTTTCTAACGGTGAAAAAATTTTAAAATCGGCCCAGTAGTTTTTGAGTTATTTCAAAACATACAAAAATACAAATCTTTCCTCTTTATCATATTAGTACAGATAACGTAACAAAAAAACAATAAATTTAACTACAACTTTAATAAGTATTTAGGTTTTATGAAATAGAGTTTATTAATCGTTACCATTATTTTTAAAAACTTTTTTATAAAGATAATGTTTATAATATGTTGAAACCAAAAATATTTTGTATATCACATACATTGGTAAACCGCATTACCGATATTCAGGGGAAATAGTGCGTTAAAATGCTGAATACGATAAATGTAAAAAAATAAATCAAACTAAGTGTTGTCACAAAACAGTCGGCAAAATGGAAATGCAAAACATTTCGATGATTATCGCCAAAAATATAGTGTTTTAATACTATACCATATTTCGCCCGCTGCTCCGTCCACGTGGAATTACAAAAAACCAAAAGTAGTCTATGTGTTCTTCCAGACTATCCTCTGCATCTATGCCAAATTTTAGGCTACAAAGTATAACAAACATCTATCTAAACTTTCGCTTTTACAATATTAGCAAGATTAGTAAAAAGTAAGGTATGCTTGGTGTAAAGTGTACCTCATGGAGTAGAGAAAGCTTTATTACATTAAAATTAAGAATATTAAGTAATAATTGTTGTTATTTAGTATTATTGACATTATGTTTGTAACCTTTAGTAGACACTGCATAATAATTCGTACAGAAGCAATTTATAACCGTGTTACTTTCTTCAGAACGGATTTTAGTATTTAGATCATAAATATTTAACTTAAATTTTTGGTTAAATAACTACAAGTAATTTACCGCTTGCACACGTCCTTACCACTTCCGCTATTTTGTTTAACGAAAAAACATCCTACTACTATCATAAAACCACTACAAAAATTTTATTATCACCTACAAAAATTTAATGAACTCCAAATATTTTGTTTTACAAGACACATATTTGTTACATGAATAACCCTACACAGTGGATTTATTCAATAACGATGCTGTTCGTATTTTAAAAGAAAATAAAAGTAAGTCGTTTTTTTCATTATCGATGTTGGGTTAAAAAACTGATTAACTTTAAAAATCTTTAACAGACGTGAGGAAGATAATTTATATTAATAAATACTTACGATAGATACATGTCGATAATAAATATTTTATTTATTATTTTGTTTTTAAGTTATTAGGAAGTATATAAGCCAAAAAAATAACACTCCAAGAGTATTTGATAGAGACAAATATCAATAACAATTTAAGAACCACAAACTTTGCAAGGATTTTCTTGGAACAATAATTTCGATGAAAGAATTCGTTTCGCTTTTCTTCGCAACTTCATTTTTGTTAACTTTGTTGCTACATACTTTTTATATAGTCTTGTTTCTTTGTTGCTAGAGTTATGTGGCTAGATTTATGTCTTTTGTTCAGCAGTTCGAGATTTATTTGTAAATGTGGTTACTAATTTTTAGGTTCATATAAATAGCTGTTTAAAAATCACCTACTAATTTATTGAAAATAATCTTGGTTGTTTTAATAAACTGAAATTAATATAGTTTTTTTATATGTTTGTTGCCAAAATTTAATATAACGAAATATTAAAATTCAGTGCGAAAAGTGAAATAAAAAGAAAAGGTCGAATAGAAAGGTCGTTGAATAAATCTTTTCAATTTCCATATTTCTTTTAAAAAACAGCGTAAATGAAACATTTTCCCAAAAAAAGTAGATGATATATTAAGACATAACATAAAAACTTTGAACTGTGGTTATTGTGTAATACTGCTGGATTACGAAGGATTGTTTATGCGCATGTTTTTCGAGATTTAACAAGGACATATGTGTCACTAGATCAAAGAGGAAAATACTTTTACGTATAACATAATATTTGACTGGATCTCGGGATAAAAAAATTGTATGTAACATCTGGATTTAAAAACAAATTTAGACTTTGGTCCATTCTCAAAATTGAACGACGTATTAATTTAAAAAATGGAAAAAAAACGTCGCAAGTAACCAAAGAATATTAAGAGATTACCGATGTTTGCCATCTCTATTTCTAACATACTTAATGAGTCAATACCTACCTAATCATCATTTGACTGACACTTTACTACGAGAGGATGTATGACTCATAATAGTCTTCGATAATTTTCATTCCATTCTCTTTCATACAATACATCCGTCAATTCTTCCTTAGAAAAATAGTTTTTCACATAAAATAATCTTTGTCCACGGAATATGTAGAAACTATTCCCACCCTATTCGGCGTGTCGATGCGTTGGCTGGCGTCGGAGTGTCGACGGTCGCCGGTCGCCGCGACGCGTTCCCTCAGTCTAGCTCACCCACCGAGAGGGTTCGCTCGTACCATAACAATCACCATGGCCCGTGGATTTGCTGCCTTGAGTATTGCCGTGCTACTAACGGCATTCGAATTCGGTACGTTTATTATTTGACTATTATTTTCCGTCAAATTATTTTATTTAAAATCGCCTTTATAATATTTCAATAAAATTTGCATTGAAAACTATTTTTTTTTATATCTGAAACTATTTTCTTCTAAACTCTTAAACATGTAGCGATAATGTAAACAAAACTTGTGTTTACCTTCAGTTATTTTAGTGTACGTAAAATTTGTTCATTGTATCATCATTTTGATCTAGAATTGTATATGTTCTTTAAATTTTACTGTATAATTATTAATATTGCTTAGTTTGTGTTTACAATAAAATTCAGGTAGAACTTTATTTCTTCTGTAAATATTTATATTGTTTTTAGTTAATATTTTTTTAGAAAACGTAAACAATCCGCGACCTTTCGTATTTAAATATAACAGCTAGAATATATTGAACAACATGAAAAAAAGTTGGTCAAAAATAATTTTATGGACATCTCTATTTGCTAGTTTATATTGGATATTACTTAAAATTACGAAACGTAACAAACAGATCAATTCTGAATAGAATTAATAAAATAGAAAAGCAGTTAATTACATTATCAGAACAATATTGAAAAACAATTATCCGCTAAAGGAAAACCGTTGCTTTGGCAATTACATCCAAGTGTCTATGCCAAATTATGGTTTGAATGAGGCAACTCTATGATATAGTACTTACATGATGCTTAAAGACTAGTACTTTTCGCCAACAAAATAATAAAGAGAACAATGAACTCTATTCTGCTCGAGTTATGATTAAAATTCCTATGCTTAAATATGTTTTGAACGAGAAATACGATTAGAAATTGGATATCGGGGATGTAATGTGATGGGCTCTACCATTAACTTTGGCATTTCGTAAAAGATAAGAATTATATGAAATGTTGCAAAGATATAGAGCGTAGACTAGAAGAACAGATAGGCTACTAAATACTTTTTTAAATTCTGTTTGGACCGAATCGCGAGCGACAGATATTATTCTCAAAAAGATTTGTAACTTTCAAACTACCAGAACCATATCTATGGTAGATAATAATAAATAATGCATATATTGCTGATTTTTTACCGTTACATAATGAGAATTTTTTGTTCAGCATCCAATCCTTTTAGCAGCAACCGAAAAAAAGGACTTATTAAATTATCGTTGTTCTTCATGTTTATATTTTGTTGTGAACCAGCAGTTTTCTGGAAGGGATCCAGATTTTTACGACTGCGCATTACAAGAATTCGTTGCGTACGAATTCTGTGGACATCGACTATTACCATCTTTTAGACTATTCAATGTTTATGCTCATATATAACCTCATACTGTATTTGTACGTCTGCTTCGAATTTACAGAAATATTGTTGCTGTATTATTACGTTACATGGACTGTTAAAGGACATATTATCTGAATTTATTATAAAAACAGTCCGTAAACATTGTATTCTTTAATCTATAGGTCATATTTTAAACTGCAATATTGGCGTTGCTCTCATGTTTATAAAAACTCTGAGGTAATCATCTTACCAATATTACAATTGCGAAAGTTTAGATGGATGGATGTTAGAGTTTGTAGCCTAAATGGCTGAACGGACTCGATGAAATTTGGAGAGGGTAGTCGACAAGAATACATGGGATACTTTTTTGGTTGTTTTTTATTCTACGTGGACGGAGTCGCGGGCGAAAGGTAGCATGTTTTATAAAGCTGTAAAAGCAGTGGAAACGCACAGTAAAATTGTCAGTGTAAATTCATTTCACAAACGTAATAAGTTATGTCAGAAGTCACATGAAGAGGTTGAGACAATTGAATTAACTCTCGTCGTAAGTGGTGATTCATACGTTAACGAATACACAGAAGTTAATATCTAAATTAAGCTTTTAAAAGAAATTCACAATTTAAAGAGCTTAAAGTAATCTAGACCATAATTAAAGGTAAAAAGAACTCTCTTTTGCAGAAACCTGATAAGTTATTTTTATGGCATATTCACTTTTAGAATATCTTAGGATGTCGCCAACTAGAATGGTACAAGCGTACAAGAGAATTGTTCTCTATGGTATCGTGTAGTTACTACTTCAAATGAAAGGTTAGTCATGAAAAAAAAGATCCAATTCAAAATTCTACTACCATAGAGTATAAGAAGTAGTAGAGTCGATACTCCATAAATACTTCTACTTTGCTTAACGATTCAAGTCGTATCACTATCTCGCGTACCTTCAATTATAGGGGTGTATGATAAACATAATGATTTATAATTATATTCAAACAAGTCAGGTGTTATTTATCATAACCGAAGGTTACACGGTTAAGGTTCTACGCAGTACAAGTAAATGACAACATCATGACATCATGCTTATAAAATAAATGTCGAACATAATTACTTAGTTTCCATGATTCAATCGATAAAAAAGTGATACATAATATAATATAGCATTTCTAAACTAATACAGTTATGACTAACTAGCTTTCGCTCGCGACTCCGTCCGCGTGGAATTAAAAAGAACAAAAGTGAGTAGCCTATGTGTTTTTCCAGACTATCCTCTACATCTTTTTAAAATTTCATCGAAATCCATTCAATCGTTTAGGCTACAAACTCTAACAAACATCCATCCATCTAAATTTTCGCATTTATAATATTAGTATGAAGTATGATAATGTTTCAATTTTCCTTTCCACAATATTAAAAGGCTAATGATAATTTACTAAGATAAAATTCAGATAACGCTAAGTAAGATACAAACATTATATACTTCGATATAGATGTTTTATTTGTTTAAAATGAAATTTTAATCTCTGTAGTATTTGCCCTTCGAAAGTCATTTAAAGCCATATCACGGCCTTGACGTGTAAAAGCAATTTTAGTTTTTAAAATGCCATATAAAAACCACTTGATGTTTTTCATTCGAAGCTTAATAGCTTACATACGCTATCAAATGAAAACTTAAAAAAATACCGTATGTTATTTTCCATTAAGTCTAAAAGGAAACGAAATATGAAATTATAAAAGTATTTTAAAGCTACTAAAGAAAATTAATTTGTAAGCTATGATTAACTAAGAATCGTTTTACATTTATTGTACCAATAGAATAATCAATTAAAAAGCTCAATTTAAACTCGGTACTAGAACGTTAACCTTTTAGTTAAAATTCTATAATGAATTTTCACAAAAAAATAATAGGTCAATTATCCTTGAACATGGAACAGATTAAAAAAGAGAACAATCGAAACGAACATGACATGCAATGATTCATAAACTGCCACTTAGTACTACAAACGGACACTAAACCATCTCACAGCAAACAATAGTCGGAATGACACAACTGGCCTTGTATCGAGGCTTCCATTCATGACAATGGTTAGTGTACGGAAAATTCTTACATTTAGAAGCACCTAGATAATTTTACTATGTCATCACATAGTTTATGTCCTACAAGTAAACTCACAACTAGTGCTGCATTAAGTTTTTATCGTCCCTAAAAGCGACGCTAAGTGTAGTATTGTTATGATAAAATTACGCTAAAGGACTGATGGGTCCCTTGCACAAAAATTTGAGAGAAAATATTTACGTCATCGATAAAATGTATTATATTTGAGTAATATAATTTTTTTGCAAATTATTTTCTCGCCTCAAAAGGTTATTGATCGTCTTTGCATGTGCTGATTAAAGTCGTTTTCTATCTTTAAATTTAAATCGTAAAATGCGAGTTCAAACACCGATTATAAATTGCAAATACCATATCAAATAAATAAGGTTATCGTTTCAATTATTCTTAGCAATTTCTAGCTATCGATGCTAACAATGTAAGCGATGTTTACGTAGAAAACTATGTTTGTTATTTTTTATCTCTATTGAAAGAATAGATTCGTAAAATTGTTTTGATTGCACTAATTGGTAAACTTGTCTGATTTAAATGTATGTTGATTGAAATAATTTGTTGTGAAATGTAGAAACAAAAATGTTTTATTGATAATTATGCTATAACGAAGACGCCAGAAAAAAAAGCAGTTATCGAGAACTTGCGTGCATCTTATAAGCCAAGCAATGTTCGTGGCTAAAAAACCTGATGAAACTGTAGACTTCAAAAGAGTCCTGAAAGTCGTCAATCGAAACCAAAGTTAACGCACGTATTTGTACAAAACATTTATTTAACTAAAGCAAGTAGTACAACCGTGTTAACTTATTCATGAGAACTTCGGCGTGTATTAATAAATATTTACATAGCATTGTTTGATTTTCCACGGTTGAGTAATTGACAAGTTGGAAATACATAACAATGACTCAACTCCAGCAAAGTATAGTTATGTGAAATAATAATAGTATATAAGACATACATTTTTGTTGATAAATGTCGTCATCTTACTAACGTAGGGTCGACGCATCAGTTCGTTCTCCAGATCGATCTATCTTCCCTCATCATCACTCCCTTCTTAAGATTTAATTGTGTCTTTTTCTTTTGTATGTTTGGGTTAATGACTACTTGTGTTCTGTACTACAAAATGTAGAGTATGCGTTAGAAACTTTGTACAACTATAATAAAACGTATTACTTCATCCTTTGACGAAATAAGATTATTGTTAATTATGTAATTTAATATTGGAAGAATGTCAAGTATTTGAGAAAGCTATCAGATTTATTTCATAATTTAAGGATATTGAGACTAAAGATGAATTTGATTCCTCTCAGGAATTCAAACTTTTGCAAAGCCATTCCAGCAAATTTCAAAAAAGAGTCTATACAAGCTTTTGAAATTCTCTATCGGGACATTTAATCTCCAAAATCCAAAGATTCGCAAAATGCTAAGTTGATTTGAAAAAATCCGTATGTGAAGTTTTATATTTAGTTAAGTTACAAATTGTAACAAACAAAAAAGTATTAAGAGCGATTGTCGAAAATCTACAAAGGTAAAGAAAGATCGAATTAAATATGGTGAAAGAGGATACACTTAAGAAGGGAGTGAATTCAGATAAGACGGCAGATAGAGATAAATCTATGCCCTTCGTACTGACAATGGAATATCACAAATTAAAAACAAAATTTTTCTATAAAGGTCAAGGCTTTTCTTCCCGTACACGAGTATAGACTCGAGCTATTTGCGACTCAAACTTGGGTGTTCCGCTCACCGGCTAAATATACATACGTACGTAAAGCCGATGACATCATCAATCTAGAAGTATGTCGATACTGTTAGCATGCTCTAGTGATAATCTCTTTGGTTACATGTATTCAGGTGTTATTATACATGTTTTTTTGTCATGTGACATTGTTACTTAATTAGCTATTACGCTCTTCTAAGTTTTTGTAATTAATTTAGTTACATTTTTTTTTCTTCAAAATAAGCCTTAGGGTATCTGTGGTTTTTTTGGCCTAAACTATACTTTCCTTAATTTAAATGTAACCACAAAACAATGAAAAAATGCGAAAAGACGTTTGTTAACATTTAAGAGGACCTTAAAACAAAACGGTCCAAGATCTGCAAACTGAGACATTTATAACATGTAACGTCTTAAAACAATGCTCTAGATCTGGATTGTAACCCAATCTTTGCTACAACAATAGTTAACTGGTACAGACCACATTTAACACACGTGTGTGATTACAGTGTAGGGTGACAATAATTTTGCTACGCTCTGTTAATTTAAGAACATCAACTGGTAATCAGTAATTACGGACTTCCGTTTAGAGTTCTGGCACGACACTTTTACCTTTTCCGCAAAACAAATAATTACGATGAGTTATTAATTTTCAAGACCATATGACCCACCTGCCAGTCAGACAAAAATACGAACATATGTTATGCTAATTGAACAGATATTTTTTTTTATTTAAATTATACAATGTAAAAATACGAGTCATTTCTATTTCGGAATATCTCGTCATCATCTTTATTTTGGAAACTTTATTGTGTTAATGTGACTATTGTTTTGTGAAATTATATTGAATTGTATTATTTACTTTTATATTTATCATATACTCGTAGTATCCTGCATGAACCAGAATAAGATATAAATCTTTCTTCTTCTGTTGTGTGGGAATGATGTCATGCACGAGAAACAAAAACACAAATTCTTCATAAATGTTATTCAAATTGTTGTTTGGATGGTTTCGTATAAATGCGTGTTCGCCAAACGTGATCTGGTGTAAGGTGGCTTGTACTTCTATAGACGTATGACTAACGTAAAGTACTTTTATTATGGTCAACGGAGGTTAAATTATAATCTTGACATCATTCAAGCGGACGTGCCTGTCGTAACATCTGTGACGCAATATTCAAACACAAACAGTTTTGGTACTCCTAAATTGGATGTACTCATATAGACTATGCGGCGCACACCTTTGACTAAAATATCGTTTTGTGGGATTGCCGATTGCTTCGCAGCAAATCCAACTATTTAGTTGAACAACTAAAAATCGAGTAGTGAATAAAATCTCATAGGAATCAAAGCGCGACTAAACAGTTGTGCGATAGTTTAGTCAAAGATGTGCGTGCGTTCTTAATATCATTATGAAAGACGAGATCTTACTAGGATCACACGATTATTAAAAATGTATTTTTATTTAAGACTTAACACAGTTTGTAGTACTAAGGTAATATAAAAGGATAATTTCCACATCCAATTAGTCAATCTTTCCTTGCTATTAAATTGTTTAAACTATCGTGAGACATTACTTTAAGCGAAAATTAATTAAAAACGGCTCAACTCACGTTTTTATCCTCCGGTAATTTTCCCTTTACTTGCTCTACCTACGATTAATTCAATTAGACCTCGTCTGTCACAGAGTAGCTACAATTAGTGGGCATTCATTAAATTAGCACGCGAGAAACCGGTACGAAATATTCAGGGATCGGTCCTGTGATATATTGAAGTAGACTATGCCACAGGAAGACGTTTTACATGATCTATAACAGTATGTTAATCTATAATTTATCTTTGATTACAGGATCGTGTTTGAGATGCTACCAGTGTAATTCTCAATCGGATCCCTCTTGCAAGGATCCGTTTGCAGGAAAAACTAAAGTGGTAAGCATATAAAAAAACAGACTGTTTTAGAGACCCTTTTATAGCTATTTAACTATTTACATGTGTGAGTGTTCAAATTCTGAAAAACCATTTAACTTGTACATTTAACAATAGTTTAGATTTTCTGTAATAACTATTTTTTTTATAATATAAGGTAGCAAACGAGGAAGCGGCTATCTGAATCCACCGAAATGGAAAGCGACCGCTGCCCACAAACGTCCGCAATTGCAGATGCGCTGCCTATCCTTAATTGACGGAGGAGGAGACGCACATAAATAGGACTTTTCCTCTTCCTATGCGTCTCCTTCACCGTCAAATCCACTTTTCCTTCCCATCTTTTCCTCTTAAGAAAAGGGCGGAAAGGGAAAGGGATTTAAATAAGGCCTCCGACACCACACTCATCAGACGAAACGCGGAATTGCTTCCACTTCACGCCTGTTTTCTGTGTGGTCCGCAAACAACACAAATTATATCTTTATCTCCAATCATTAGTACCTACCACTAATAGTATTTCAATATGAATAAAATATGCATAAAATAGTTGACACATGAAACTTTTTTTTTCAGGAATGTTCCACCCAGGACTCTGTGAATTACAACCGCGCCTACTTACGCGGTATCTTGCCCACTGAGCTGGTGGATGCCGTCGCCGGCGCCCCAAGATACTGCCACAAGATTGTTATGCGTTAGTATATTTACGTTTTAAGATCCTTTTCCACTAGTACGACCGTAATAATAGCATGACATTTGTGCGGCTGACTTGATAATAGAAAGGGGGTCTATGTTATTATTAAATAAAAATCAATTTTGTAAAGTAAATTTCTAAATCTATATTATATCTACTAATTTTATAATGAGGAAAGATTTGTTTGTTTGTATATATTGTAATAATTCAAAAACTACTGGGTCGATTTTTAAAAATTCTTTCACCATTAAAAAGCTACGTTATCAGTGGTTAACATAGGCTATGTTTTTAATTGTTGTTTTTTTTAATTTCACGCGGGCGAAATCGAGAGCAATAACTAGTAATCAATAAATTATATTATGTAACAAGTTTTCAGTATATAATTCATTGTGGCAATACATCCGATTCTTATACTCTTTTTAAATTTATTTATTAATTTTTAAAAAGACCTGGGTATATACTCGTATTATCTTTATTTTCCAGAGAATGGCGCGACTATCCGAACTTGCTTGGACGCCAACCCTACTGACTTGAACCAAACTTGTCGCGCTCTCGAAAACGCGGCCAAACTGTCCCCAATGGACCAGTCGAAGCAAGTCAAACATTGTCAAGTTTGTGACAAGGATGACTGCAATGGGGCCGGTTCAATCGCACTCTCATTCCCACTGGCAGCTTTAGCTCTTACCGCTTCGTATCTCTTCTACAAACAATAATAAGAAATTAAAAAAATAACAATGCCATTGGAACGCTTGCAACGCACCAAAGAAAATGCTTCGCAAATGCTGAAATTTGGTGTGCCAAAATATTAACCTTTCTAGAACCGTCCAATATCATTGTTATTTTATGCTTTGTTATTTTTAGATACATATTTAAGATTAATATTTTAAATTTAGAAGTTATAATCGTAATTATTTCGTAATCATCAAATACCAAGATGATATTAAATATTTAAAACGAATATTATATCCAGATTACAATTTTTTATGAAGATGGAAGGTTATTTAAAAATAATAATATTGTTGTTGTTGTCTTATATATATGAAATTAAATTATTGTTGTATTGAATGTTTGCTTTGCTTTACAAATTTAATGCCTTGATATTTTATTTTCTGCATTATAAATATATCAAAAGTTGAAACAAAAATATTTGAAAAGCATTTATATATAAGTAGAATTTGACCGTCCTTTTGATGAACGTATTTTAATAAAAATCAATAAAACATTGCTTATTATGTTTCATTTTGACTAAATTTAATTTACCTCAATCTTTGATATTCTTTTGCAGTATTTTAATGCCTATTTACCATTTCGCAGTATACGCTTAAAAATTGAGAATTAAAATGTTTGTCAAATTATATTTACTTAATATTATATATTCGTGTTACATTAAATAATATTAAATTGAGAATATTAATAAAGACTTCATTATCCTTTTATGAATGGACGCAGATTTTATTTGCAATTGTAACTACGGCAGACCTCATTTGTGAGACAAAAATGTAGAATTCCTTAAAAAAATAATATTATAATTTGGTTAAAACGTAATTTCATTACAATTTTAAAATTCGATTTGAATCTAGTTATCGATGCATTGTAATGAGGATTGCGAAATACGAATGTAGGTGAAAATGCATTAGGATATCGACTTCATCTCCGAGATCTTTATGTGGTATCACTATTTAATTAGAATATTATTAGACACGAGCTGTCGTCCGCAAACTTAGTAAGCTCGGATTTTAAGATAAAAGTCATCTATCACATTCCAGTGTGCGTCTACTTTCCACCAGTTATCTTTTAAAACAAAGTCCCTTCCAAATCGGTCCACCAGTTGCAGAGATAGCGGTCCAGTCGCCATTTTAATAGTGCTGAAATAAAGAAAAGTAGCAAATAATATGACCCTCTATGTCAGCTACCCTTCAGTGCAAGTTCGGTCGAAATCGGCCCAGTCGTTTCAGAGATTAATTGGAGTTTGTTCCAATGATGGTATTAAGTACATAAAGGGTCATAATGTTACCTTTATTATAACAGTTTTTATTAATCAGTAGGTCGATCGATCCAACAGAACACATTTTTCGTTCGTCAAATCCCTTAATGACAAGAAATTCCAGCACAATGGTATTTAATTAAGATTACAAACGAAAACGTGTATTGTCTACGTGCACATTAGATTCACGGCCCACCAATATCTACGATTCGCGCCGACGGTGCATACATTTAAGGTCTTTCGAGCATGATGTATTTATCGGTAACAATGGTAATATTACCGTATATAATATTACCGCTGACGCCAAGTCAACGTGGACAGTAATACTCGCAGCACGATGAATAGATTCGTGTTAACCGTTTTCGCGGTGTTCACCGTTTCTGTGGCGTATTTGAAATTTGCTGAATCATCAGGTAATTAATTTCAATTTTCTTTTAATACTTCGAATATCCATTTTTTAAGAATTATTAACTAAACCGTTAGATAGTGCAATATGTGAACTTGGAGGTCAACTCCAGTTCCCATTCCCACAATTTTCATAAAGGGAATTATGGATGGGAACTGCATTTTGCAGAGAGGATAGGAGAATTTCCTTTTTCTATGTTCTCCTCAACTTACCATTAAAGGTAGATAACGCAACTGCAATCTTCTAAGGCAGCGGTGACATCACTATTAAACTATTATCCAGCTTAAATATGGAATTTCAAAAAAATAATAAAATTAATATTTGAATAGGCGACTTAGATCTACACAAAGTTGAAGTACCCGATGAATTAGAAGAGGATGGAGAAGCCGCTGATAAAGTTGCATCCACGCAGGGGAGTGCGATGGCTATGAACAACTTTAATAGAGGTAGACCTCAACCTCAAGTCCCAGTCCAACAGAACACAAGACCTTCACAGCTCGTGATAGATGTTGTGGAATGTTTCGTCTGCACTGATTGTCCGAAGGTATACGAGAATGCAACATCGAAATTATGTCCGCACACACTTGATGTTACACGGCAAAATAAATGTGTCGTTTATGCAGAAAAATATAAACGTAAGTAGCTGAGTTATACTTTATCTCTTACTTAAGTGTAAAAGCACTTTTATTTAATAAGAATTTCTTTTTTATAAATTCTATTGATTACAATATTGCATTATATCTTAAGGCAGGCTATTCTCCATCCCTTGCATTACTATCATGGCAAATCTTTATATTTTTTCTGGTACTGTTTCCATAGAATAGATTAGGACAGACGTAAGTAAGCTTAAGAAATGATATTTACCTACTTTCTGGTTTAGACATGAAGAGATCGTGGCACATCCGTGGCTGCGCTTCAGAGAGAGGTTCCTGTGAGGATATTAGGAAGGCTCACGCCGCACACGGAGATATAGTGCAACTGTTACATTGCCGTGAATGCGAGGGTAACAAATGTAACACAAATAGTGGATTCCGATCTATATCAGATATTACTCTAGCTTTGTTTGCTGTGATTGTAAGTCCAATCGCTGTTAAATACACAGTTTCTTAAATTTTTATCAATTTAAACGGGTATTTAAAAGTAGGTGATTCAAAAAGAATTAGTGAATCAAGAAAATGAAAACCAAAGATTTAATGGCATGGCTCTAATGGCTTTGGATAAATTATTATGTATAATAAATAAAGCAAGTCTCATTAGTTATTAGTTTACTTAATAATGTTACTTAAATAAAGCGATTTGTACAATGAAATTGTTTGTGTTTCAAGAAAATTACGCCAAAACATTTAGGAGAGATGAGATTAAGTTTTGCATGATGTATAAATATCAATCATATTACTCCTTTCATATTTACTTTGTTAAATTATTTACAGACTTACAATCTCCTAAACTCTGATAAACAAACGTGTTCCAGGAAAGCCATTCCACAATCACACAAATTTTCACTAACACAAAAATTTCTGACAGCGTATGTGAAAAAAGGTAGATAGGCATGTTTTCTTTAAATTTATAGACGGTTGCCAACTTATGCCAGCTGGTAGCTTCAAGAATCTGAAAGTGATCCAAACTCGCTGCTCTCTTATACTTGTTTACGTTAAGTTCCCGTCTATGTATACTTGAATTGAAAAAAAGTGTTTTCACTAAGTAATATGTTTATAAACATTTGAATGTAATTTGGTTATGCATAAAACGTTATTGACCTCACTGTCCGAATTACTTCATCGCTTGAGACGTTACAAAACCGGAAACTGGAATGCTGCTTTCTCTTTCTAACTGTATGGCGATTGGCGATAAAAGGTTTGGCTTTTTTTTTTTTTTGTGACTGAATGGCCACTGTTTGCCTTAAAGAGGCATTTACAGATTCACCG